TCCACTGCCATGAAGAACTGAGCTGTATCCAAGCCGAATCATGAAGAGATGGTTTTTCCATTGTAAATTATATGAGCTGTACTCAAACCATAACCGCGCTTGACATGGCCTTGCTTACTACCAATGCCGAAAGCAAGACTAAACCCAGCTGGTTACATCACCACCATCCGATTAGTCGAAATGCATGGAGATTGAAAGAAAAAAAAAACAAAGTAACCGACATGGGCAAGATGATGTGTATTAGAGGTTCTGAATGTCGGTTTTGATTCATTTTCGACAAACTATCCAGCCCTAGTCTCCACACAGCATTTTTAAAGCCATTTTCTAGACATGGTACAATTCCCTACGTTTAGGTGGCATTTTCGCTTGTGCAGCCAAGTCTTCAAGGACTTCAGACAATGATGTTCCTTAAATTTGCAAATGTTTGCTTACCTGTGACGTAAAACTTCATTATAGCGCCTGCAAGCAGCCACACACAGTTCAGAGTAAGTAACACACAATACTACCACCATGAGCTGATGACGTGCTCCTGATGAAAACCCTCAGGGTGTTTCTCAATACCAAGAACGCAAAGACCGTACTTGTGGTCTTGGCAGGAGCGGTCTTGCTAACTTGCCTTCCAAGAATAAACTTGGGAAGCAATGAATCATAGGATTGTTCTCCTTCGGCGAGGATGCAATCAATGCATCCTTGATATTTGGGGCGGGGCAGGAACTATATCCGGGGACTTACCGTCCTCTGTATTTGAGACCGGTCTTCAGTAATGGAAGAGGACGTGAAATGGGTACGCGAGAACAGAAATACAGTCAAGTATGCATCTAGAGAAACATTAATTTCATGTGATGTGTCACGCTTACATGTCTACCACAGCATCTGACCAAAGAACGTATGTCAGAGCAGAATGGGCCGCTGTGTAGGAAACTGCATTATGAACAACAAGGCATCTTTCTCCGTATAGCACCAAAAATTCAGTCTGAATCCTGAGAGATGATTTATTAAAGATGTTTTGGAATTTGCATACTGTAGTTCGTATATTTAATGTGCACTTTGAGGAAGCCACACCACGCTTTAATGATATTGGTGAAACGTGCAGATAAAAATTACATGAATGCAAAATTAATGCATGTAGGTAAGAATGTGCATTCAACAGATATTGGAGATGTTAATGGAAACCTATAGTAAGAGTGTAATTGCTTATATATACTATATGAACAAAGGTATCGGGACACACCTCTCAATCACTGAAATACAGGTGATTCATTCAGGCCCATTGGCACAGGTGTATAAAATCAAGCACCTAGCCATGTAGTTCCAGCTGAGATTTTCAGGTTATGCACAAAGATTTGTGAAAGAATGGGTCATTCTGAAGCGCTCAGTGAACTCAAGCATGGTGCTGTCATAGGATGCCACCTTTGCAGCAAGTCAGTTCATGAAATTTCTTCCCTGCTAGATATTCCATGGTCAGCTGTAAGTGGTATTATGGCAAAGTGGAAGTGTTTAGGAGCAACAGAAACTCAGCCACAGAGTGGGAGACCATGTAAAGTAACAGGGCAGGATTGCCGAATGCTGAGGCACATAGTGTGTAAAAGTTGCCAACGCTCTATCAGCTCAATAACTGCAGACTTCCAGACTTACTCTGGCATTAACCTCCGCACAAAAACTGTGAGCCGGGAGCTTCATGGAATGGGCTTCCATGGCCGAGCAGATGCATGACGCCTCACATCACCAAGCATCGGATGGAGTGGTGTAAAGTACGTTGCCACTGTACTCTGGAGCAGTGAAAACATGTTCTGTGGAGTGATGAATCACACTTCTGTCTGGCAGACTGATGGTCTGTGTTTGGCAGATGCCAGGAGAAAGTTACCTGTCTGAATACATTGTGCGAACTGTAAAGTTTGGTGGTTTGGAGGGATAATGGTATGGGGTTGTTTTTCAGCGGCTGGGCTAGACCCCTTAGTTCCAGGGAAGGGAACCCTTAATGCTTCAGCATAGCAAGACATTTTGGACAATTCTATGCTTCCAACTTTGTGGAAACAGTTTGGGGAAGGCCCTTTGCTGTTCCAGCATGACTGTGCCCCAGTGCACAAATCAAGGTCCACAGAGGGTTGGGTGAGTTTGGCATGGAAGAGCTTGACTGGCCTGCATAGAACCCTGTCCTCATCACCACTGAACACCTCTGGGATGAACTAGAATGGAGGTTGCAAGCCAGGCCTTCACATCCAACATCAGTGCCTGACCTTACAAAAGCCCTTCCGGATGAATGGGTAAAAATTCCTACAGACACACTGCATAATCATGTGGAAAGCCTTCCCAGAAGAGTGGCTGTTATAGCTGCAAATGGGGGGAACCAACTCCATATTGATGCCTATGGATTTCGAATGGAGTGCCTTAAAAGTTCCTGTAGGTGTAATGGTCAGGTGTCCCACTACTTTTATATAGTGTAGCTTTATATCGTAAGCTGTCCAGGGGCCTAAAGTCCCAGTCAGAAACTCAGTCCTATCCTGGCCCTGACTACTTTGCTCCTTTTACTTCACTTGTTCCAAGTCAGACATATAATTTAGCATATCAAACCAAACAATGAACCTCGTCATGGAAATTTGCACAAGAATATCAGTGGTTTTGAATAAAAGCTGAAATATTATCATATGGCAACCAATATAATGCACAAACCACTGAACCCTTTCCCTGGAATAGAAAAGTATTAAGTATACCAGTGTCTCTTCACAGCACGGGTCAGGTACGGCCTGGTTCCTATATTCAAATGGACAAGTGCCATTGGTCTCAGTCAGAGTCTCAGTCACAGACCCTCACCTCTGTCAGCTTTCATGTGCTGAGCTCTGGAATTTGGATATCTGCTGCTAATCACACCAGAGTATGTCAGCATTACACATCCAACATTACTGTGAAAGGCTACCATGAATAATAATACTACCAGCATAAATAACCTCTAATACAAACATGTACAACATGCTATTTAAAATTCTCATTCTGTTAACGTGAAATGGATGTATGCCCGCAAAATACATTAGAATCTAGCAATCTACAAATTAATCTATGTAAAGCATAGGTACGCGTATATTAATACCGTTTACTCCATTTTCAAGATACTGGTATAACTATGAAACTTTGGCGTCATTTTAGTGTCTGACGGCAGATCAAATACATCAAAATACACTGATATTAATGGCTTAAGAGGAATACAGAGACACGACTGCCCTGCAGATAAACTATGATTAAGGCTATTGTTCCACATACACGCTAAAAGCTTAATGATGACATACTTATCTCACATCCTAGTTTCAGGTTAATCTTTTTGTAGCCTATCGTGTAGCCGATCGCGTGCTTAATGACGTAAATCACGCCGTTCGCATTAGACCTCATTTGTGCACATGACAGTTTAGCATTAAGCGAATTATTAGAAAAAGCTCGCAAGTATTTGTGAATCTTCTCAGCTTCGTATTTATTATCAAATCATTGTGTTTTCTAATGAAATGTATAGCAAGTTGTAATATTTTAAACAAACAAAAAAAACAATTTATAGGTCTAATTGAATAACGATGGTTAACGATCAATAACACTTAAAATTTAAAACGTTTTTTAAAAACTGTCCTTCACGCAGATTTTTCATAGACGTTTTCTGAAGAATATCTGACTGCAAATATAAAGTCAAATATAAGACTATGAAAAACTCAAGTTTATAAAAAGTTGATAAACTAAAGCGGCAACCAGATACGCAAATGCCAGATTCTTGAGAATTGTTCCGTACGTGTTTCTTAGATTTTTTTTTCCTATTTTCCCTTTCGTTTGATATAAGCGAAACGCAATGAACACAAAAAAGGTAAAAACAAACAGGCCTATACAATTCCACTGTTTTCTATACGACCTCGTTTTAGCATTTCTCTAACTTACTTGTTTTGAACCACGTGGAATGAATGCGGGAATAATTATCTGTCTTTTAATTATTTAACTTAACGATCATCAGTGAAAAACATCCCGTCCTAAAAGCGACCTCTGGGCTTGCGAAACGAAACTGGGCAAGCCAGACACTTTGAAATCCGAACGGCGCGGAAGAGTCGGGTAGCGGGATCCAGCGACTTAGTGGTTAACTCAGCTAGACTGCGGTAATCAGGGGATCGGTCTCCTTCTGGTGATGCACTAGACTTTAAACTCCAGGACAACTGCTTAAGAGTTAACTGGTGCCTTTTATCTCCGAAACAGCACCCTTTTTGACCCCGCCGAACCCGGCGCCTTACAAAATCTAACTTGTCTGCCTTATAAATCGCTTTGATTTATTGTAAGGTATAACCAGTTTAATTCCAATAGGATCTTTTGCCCAAAAAAAAAAAAACTTCAAAAAGACACTGCATTGCACGATTAATAATCCTAATTAACTGATGTAAAATATCCTGCATGTCAAATATTATGACAAAAATTAAATGTCTTTTATCGTGGTATGTAGCCTATTTTTGGATTGGCCCTAAACTGTACGGCTTGTAACGATCATTTTAAAACTAAAGGCAATTTACTTAATGTATTATACTTATGTTTCTATGATTTATTTCAACATACAAACATGTGATGCGGGTCTCAATTTGTGTTCTTTAATCATACGATGAAATGGTGTGTGATTGTGCCGAGCCCAAAAGTAATAGTGTTTATAAACTCTGAGGTTATATAATATAGAATAATTAAATTATGCTAGTTTTATTTGTCTTGATTCATCTTCATCCTGTTCCATAACCCGTATGGGAACTCTATACTCCTCTTTGGAGCAGCTAGTAATTGCAGGAGAAGTCATCTCTTAACTATCCTCTCTTGGGAGAGAGCCCCCTGAGTTATCAGATTTTCAACGCAATTAACTGTTTTTAAATATACACATTTATCTTAAAGCCATTATTGATACCTTTCAGAAAAGATCCGACCAATCGAGTGGTGGGGCTCGCGACGTCATGTGGCCAAATTAACAAGCCGATTGGAAGGCGGCGAGACGGGAAAAACCTTCAGGATCTTTTAGGGCTGGAAGTTGGACGCTGCAGACGCAAAGTTCGGAGTCTCTGGGTAAAAGACGCAACGCCCCGCTGTTCGGGACTGTCAACGATATACTCTATAGGTGTATGGCCCCGTATTCCCATACTATGAATACTGTCAAAGGGTCTCTTCCCCAAAAGATAAAAGTATACGAAAAGGAAGATCCCGGACGAGAAAACTTCGAAGTAAAAGATATGGCAACTTCTAAAAGCTGCAAGGAAAAGGCGTCTAGCCTTCCTTTCAGTGTCGAGTCGCTAATTTCGGACAAAGCTGTGTGTCGGATTCAGTGTTCACCAACTAAGCCAGGCACCGAGCAACAACTACCACAAACATCACAGAAGAGAGTTTGTTCAGAGAGAATTTCAGTGGAGAGTGTTACTACATTATCGGACTGCAAGAAAAAAGAAAGCGAACATCTCAGTGATAGCGACCAAAGGTCTTGGCTTCAGACATCTTACTCCGCATCTTCACGTAAGTACCTAAATTGTTGTATTTAAAATAATATGCAAATGTTTTTCTAACAATTAAGTTTGAAAGTAGAAGGTGGTGACAGTTTTAAAACCGTCTTCGTGGATGTTATTCTAATATGTATATTGCTAATAGTTAATGATTTAAATTCAATTATCAGAAATGTTATCTCTACTATATAACGGTATAACATTTTCCGTACCCAGCTATTTACGCGTATTAGTTTGAGCCCGGTTTTCTTTATTTTATATACTACATCATCAAGTGATTTTACTGATTTACTGGATCAGATAACCACTGGAATTACAGCATTGCCATGAATAGACTTCACTGTTATACAAGTGACACCCTCTTATTTCAGCTTTATCGTATACATTGCGGTGTCAGCCACATACTGTATTTCCCTAAGATAGATTTACTCTTATCGGTCAACAGGACACTCGAGTCCACCCCCATGCACCCTCAGGAAGCACAAGAACAACAGAAAACCGAGAACTCCGTTCACGACGTCTCAGCTGTTGGCCCTGGAGAGAAAGTTCCGGCAGAAGCAGTACCTTTCCATAGCGGAGAGAGCAGAGTTTTCAAATTCACTGAACCTCACTGAGACACAAGTCAAGATCTGGTTCCAAAACAGAAGAGCCAAGGCAAAGAGACTTCAGGAGGCAGAGCTGGAAAAACTTAAACTTGCGAGCAAGCCGCTGGTACCTGCGTTTGCGTTTCCTTTCCCTCTGGGCACCCCATCACTCTACGGACCTTCTGGCTCTTTTCAAAGGCCCACCTTACCGGTCCCCGGACTATTCACCGGACCAGTAACATACGGCATGTATTATTTGTCATAAGTAGGAAATTCGCGTTGATTGATTTCGCCCCATTAGAAAACTACACCTATACGGAACGCACTAACTCCCAAACGCGATTAATGCCGGCCGTAAAATACTAGACAGCACGTGTTTTTATCATAATTTTTTTTTACAATTTGCTGAAATTTTAAATACATTCTAGAAATAATTTTAGCAGAAATTAATTTCTGAAATAACTGTATATTGAATCACTAAATTATGAGGTGCTTTGTTAAAAAATCTTAATCATTCGTATTTTTATGCCCAGCTCGTGGTGATTTGGAATACCATTCGAGCATAGATCGTTTACTGAAATATTTTTATATACATTTTATATATTAAAAACTCAACGCAGTTCGCAACCGAATGCCTAGTTCTTCCACATTACCATGTGCCTAAGAGATTTAAGCATTTTAAAACATTTAAGTTGCTGCCAAAAAGTGAGTTTAAAATTAAGACGCTCCTATTGAATTTAAGAGCCGCTGACAATTTAAATACCATGGTTTGTATGAATGTCACCTGTACTCCACCATTTTTGATATACCCTTGTTTCACTGGTTTACTGTTTGAATACCGAGATGGATGAACCAAACACTATTTTTTTCACAGGACACTGCTAGGATTAACTCCGATAGCTATGTTTCATAAGGCAAAATAACAGTAGGAACTTCAGTATATTATATAACATTGTATTAATATGCAATCCTACAAATTAGTCATTGACTCAAAAAGACAAAGGATGTTGAGCGACCAACATTTTTAATAGTGTGTATAGGCCTATTTTTGGCACGGCACCGTATTACAAAATGCAACTATATTTAACAAAGGGCGCGTTTTTATAACAAGTCCGATAATCTACATTAAAAACTTGATTCGTTGAATCAACGTCAACATTTTTTGTTTTCCGAATCCCGAAACATTCCAATTGCGGAACTTTGTGTTTTTAAATCACAGAGTTAAATCCCGGTGAGTTAAATCAATCTAGAAATACATTGTTCTCCATGAGCTCCTAAGAATAAAAGCCATATTATGACAGTTAACGTTTCACCATTCAGAATTACTTCGGTCACGTTGTATTACCTGCATGACGAGTGTATTTGCAAAGCAGCTTTCAACAGTTACTTAAAATTGATCAAATAGAAATATTTATGACACGTTTATAAGATGTACATCTGTATATTTTAAAGATTAGAAACATTTTGTACAAAATATTCAATAAAGGTTTTAAAATTACTCACTCTTCAAAAATGTCATTAGGTTTCAATGAAGGTAAACAATGTACATAACTAGCATCTCAACACTTCATAAACAGCCAGCTGAACGCCCATTTAAACACAAGCCTAATGCAGAAATTTCCATGTCACTTTACAGCCTAAACAGACTGAAATAAGCTAATATACAGAACATGGGCAAAGGTTACATGTTGGAGTCGGAGATTGGAACATACAGAAATGTCTTAGATCTTGAGCCATCGACACTGGAAAAAATCTATTTACCCAAAAATTTGCTTTAAGCAAAACAAATGTCTACTTAAACTATAAAACTGAGCCAATTATCTGTTTTAAACGCTTTGCTATAACGAATCATTTTTTAAATCGCTCTCTTTGGACGAAGGCGCTTGGATGACATACAACAGTAAATCCTGATTTCGCAAAAAGCCGAAGATTTACATTAAGAATTAAGTGTGTTATGGAAAACAAGATGGGGTCAGCGAAAAGAAAATTTCTCCACAGGGATCAATACACTATCATCATTGCATTTCATTTAAGTACAATGGCCCAGGAGTCCTACGGAATTCGCTCCGCGTCTCCGAGGCGCGTGATCATGTCAACGGTACGTGCGCGACATCGTCTGGAATTGCAGGGAATTACATAGATTTACCCTGCGCTAGTTCACAACTTACGGTATGAAAAACGCAAAACGTTCACTTGAGGTTTCACGTGATATTAAAATATAAATCTCATACAACACACTTACATGATTTTCTCAAACAGACGCGATTTTCCACAGCACACATTTCATGTAAACCATAGTGAGTCTTTCTGTAGACTTTACAATGCAGAATCGCAACTATCCTGTAGGACAAAGGCTTCTGCTAACCTGATAGTAAGCTGACCTGTAGAAAAAGCCCCACTAATGATATGCTACACATAGAGTGAATAGCAAAATCCAGAGGACCCCATCATCGCTGGGGCGCTGCATGTCTCAAGTGCTGAAAAGAGTCCTGCCTACTTGCGTCTTCTCCCACCTCTAAATCCTCGCACGGATCCTTGGCCAAAGCAGATAGATGCGGGGACCCTGGAACAGGAGTTCACATTAGAAACCCTACAACAGCCACTTTTATTATTATTATTTTGTATTTTTAATCCATGCATACATCAGCGTTAACTTTGCATAGGCAGAACACAACTTTGTTTTTTTTCGTGGTATTAAAATGCCAGCAATTCCTATTAAGAACATGCCAACCCTTGCCTTCAGGAACACAGGGTAACCTGTAACAGATAATTATCACTATACATGGCTGTCAGCCTTAGCTTAGAGTTACGTCATGCAGATGGGCAGCTGCAGGCCAGGCACTGTCACTACCAGTCTTTAGGGAATAAGTCGGCCAGCTGCCTTAATCACCAGGTAATCAAAGATGTCAACACTTATCCTGCTAGGGTGAGTCTGCTAAAGCTGAGCACAAAGGATTTAAGGTACCACAGTTTAAGTGGATTTAGCTTTATCCCAGATTACCTTAAATCTGACAGTTATCTGCCCAACCAACAAATCTAGCTTTGTGATACAGGCCAGAGGGGTTTTCTAACACGAATGCACACAGGTTTCACTGACTTGTAGGAGTAGCCTGGTCTGAGTCGATCCCCCCGTTTCTGAACAGCTGGTTCAGCCTCCATGGGCTCCCCAGCTCCTGGCTCGTCCCCCTGCTCCATGCTCACTTCCACACGCTGGGGCGCCCCCCCTGGAGGCCTGGTGTTCAGAGAGAGAAGCTCGCATCACTCACTGCCCACCCATTAAACCCACACGACCCCCCACAATCTCCTGAGCTCTGCTTAAAGCCCTACATCTGATGACACGTATTATTAAGGTGCTTTCTGTAAAAGCTCTGGGATCCAGCCCCACGCGACAGAAGGCAGCACACGCCATTACCTCCTGTTCTTCTTGGTTTTGTCAAACCTGAAGTCTGAAGGATAGCGATGAACCTTAATGAGGTGATCCTTCCTCTCCGTACTGGTCTTAAATTTTAGATCACATCCTTCAACCAAGCACTGATACTGGGGGGATAAGAGACATTGTGTTTTTAAAACAAACTGCATACATACAGCCCACGCCACAATAGTTCCATCCAGTCATTTGCCTTAGAAAGGCTGGACATCCATCAGTAACCAAGCTGTACCTTCCAGACATGTACCCTACAGCAAAGGTCCAGCATACCATATTCTGCTTCTTGGCCATGAGCTGGAATAAGGAATCGTGCCACTCCTGGATATGGATGTCCAGGAGATGGTCCGACGGGAAGGCGCGCTTGCAGTCGGCGCAGACACGCCTGTGCAGGGCGTCGTAGTGATGCTCGTAGGACTCCAGGGTGTCAAAGAGCTGACTGCATCCGGCGATGTGACATCGGAACTCTGCCACGCTGACGGGACACATGAGACGGAGGCGTCAGGCAGCATGTTCCTGGAGTAGCCTGTTCCAGCCATCTTATTTCGGCTCCTACTCACGTTGGAGCTTGAGGGAGCTCCGACATTCCGGCGGCGCTGTCCCGCAGATACAGGTGCCTGTGTATGTCACCGTCCTGTGGAGGGACGACAGCCTCGTTACCTTTAACTCCATGTGTGGGTTACCAAAGAAATGCTACACACCAAAAACCAACGTTAATTACAGCAGGAACTTGGTTTACTACTCCAAACAGAAAGAAGCGGGCTTCTTGGGGTGTAATTACTCCGGCCCAATTTACAGCTGTTAAAAGTTCAACAAACCCACTTCAAATAGATCATGGTCCTTGTCCAGCCTCATTCGGCGCGGCGTGAACGTAAAAGCGGACGGGCTTTCCTCGATCCCGCTGCAGAGCTCGCTCGGTTTTGGGTGAACTGGCAGGACCGGGATGCTGCCGACACAAATTTCCTCCGCGCCGGCGGCCGTCAGGAAGCGTACTAAATCCGGTCGGAACATAATTGCACGACAGGGGCTGTCGGCAGCATCGGCGGCCAGAGCACCAGACCTCCCAGTGACAGAAATTGGCGATCCTCCGAACTCCCCAAATGATGACGTCACAGTGGCTGCGCGAGCTGCTGACGTTCACATCCGCGTCCCGCCTCTAATCTGCCGGACTCAAGTCGATGCTTTTCTCCCGGGTCCTAAAGTTTACAGTTCACGTATTCCTTTAGGAACGTGAACATTAATTCTACTTTTCAAGGCAAAGATATGGGGAAAAAAATCTTTATTTGAGGTACCCCAAACTAAAGGGTTTAAGTCGTTTTCTCTGAATGCATCGCTCATATACCTTTAGATTTGACAAACGTTAACGTGATTTTAAAAATCATTTGTTAAAATTAAAATTGTCGCATGGTGGCGCCAAATAGCCTCATTCGGCAAGCCATGAGTGAACAGTTTTTTTTCAGTTTTCTATTGTTCTCTTAATTGTTTTATATATTTCCTCACATCATTATAGTTTCTATTTCATATAGGCCTATCATATTCATTCGGACATTACAGCATAAGTGTCCATACTTTTACATATACTGATTTATTAAAGTCAAACACCTGTTACACTCCAGAAGTTAAATCGATCATAAGGTAAATCGACTGCCTAGTCAGTTTGATGTCTTTTTAATTTGAGCTCTAAGTAACTGTATTCAGGATGCGGAGTTGGGAAAAGGCATCATGACAGGACTTAACCCCATGAGACGTCCCAAAGCACAGGTAATGTAAACCAGAGGACGATGTTCCCCACCATGATCATGAAGGGCCAGTATATCTCCCTGACGTTCTCCTTTGTTTCCCTCCACATGGTCACTCAAATGATGTATGCCCTCCATAATTAAACCAAACGCATTTACCATTGATGAAAGCTAAGAGCAGCGTAGACGGGAGGAAATAGTGCAGGTCTCTTTTTAAAAATACCTAAAATGTGTAAAACACAAATGTGGACACGTGAATTGCCCATGACACACACACACATTTAACATCAAATACGCCCCTGATCCTGAACATAGCTGTATTTCCCCGAACCAGGATGGCATCAGGTTTGTGGTGAAGATGACAAGACGCATGATGCATATCCCCGTGTGTCATGGGCAATTCCCGCAGGAAAACCGAGATTGAGCTGAAAACGAGAAGCCTTTCTGACTTGACGTGTATGCCCCATTGTTCTTACTTCAAATACGACAGTGTTTTTCTTTTAGGGAGGCACTCCCAATCTAACAGGATGAGATACTAATAAAGTCTTCCGATGGATTAAATCAGAAGGGGAAAGTGACAAAACTGCACCATAGCAACACATATACCAACACATTAGAAGTATGATATGGCTGTACTGGCATTTTCCCGTTGGGCTGGCAAAATTAAGGGACAACTCCTAATCTGTAACGTTTTCTTTTTTTAACTAATGCCAAATATTAAAATCTGGCCTGATGTTCTCGGT